AATCCATGGATAAAAAATAAATTCTAAGTACAGAGGCTTGACTATACACTACGGCTGCAGCTGGGAATCATGAGGCCCTCCCAGATATAGCCGGCCTGCAGTGCCCAGCACTCCTTTCCATTGACTTAGCTGGGTGAGGCTGATGGGAGTTGCACTCTATCAAGATCTGGAGGGCTGTGTGATTCCCACTCAAATGCACTTAAAAATATGCAGGTATATAACAGCCTTCTCCAGCTCATATTTATTGGAGACCTATCATCTCTTGAGATATTTTCAATTTAATTGAGTAAAAAGACACCTACAATCATAGAGTTGGAAGAGACCCCAAAGGCCATCCAGTCCAACCCCATTCTGTCATGCATGAACTCACAATCAAAGCGTCCCCAACAGTTGACCATCCAGCCTCTGTTTAAAGACTTCCAAAGAAGGAGACTCCATCATACTCCAAGGAAGCATATTTCACTGTCAAATAGCTCTTATTATCAGGAAGTTCTTCCTAATGTTGAGCTGGAATCTCTTTTCCTATAGTTTGCATCCATTGAGGCTCCATTGTGTCCTATTCTCTGGAGCAGCAGAAAACAAGCTTGCTCCATTCTCAATATGACCACTTTTGTGTGTTTTGCTCCCCAGAGCCCTCCATCAGGCAGGTGGAGGATGGATGGCCCATCATCCCCAGAACTCACCTGTGCTGATCTCCCTGGGGGCCTCTTCTCCCTCTGAATGGACCCGATCCTCAATACACGGTTCCTCCCCACGTTCGATGCGGGACAACACATCCGGCTTGGCAATGGCATAATCTGGTTGGGGAATACAAGAGAGATACAGGTGGAATATCTAATTCCATGATATTTGCACAAAGAACACTGAGATTCCATGATGCACTCCTTAAAGCAAGTTTCTAGTCCCTATTGTTCACAAAAATACACCAAAAGCAACAGAGGAGCAGCTGATGGTGCTTTGGAAGTCAGAGAGGAATTGCAAAGATTTGAGAGAGGCACCAAGCGTGGCGGTTGATGGGGCCCATGTCTGTGGGGTGACAAATCTGCTCCGTGTTTTAATCCAAACTTTAACGGGTTTGCCTAAGGTTCTGAACCCCCTCCCAATGGTAAGTGTAGCCCTTCTGGCAGATCCTTTAAAGCACAGATTGAAATCAACTGCAAACTCGCGCTTGCTTTCTGACTCACCGTTTATTGTAATATTCATGATTTTGCAAACTCTCCTTGCAATTTTATTTAAGTTTGTTAACTTCTCCCTACACACAAGGCACCGTAGAGAAATGTTGTAAAGAAGGGGGCAAGTAAAGGGCAGCCCATAGGTCAGATATGGCTTCCAAACTTTTCGGGGGGCATGCCCCAAATTTGCAGTCAAAAAAGTCACAGCAGATTTGCCTAAAATGCAGCAAAAAGAAAGGCAACAAAATATGGAGATTTTGCTTTATTTGCTAGGATCGTATTCTGTAGTTTGGGGTTCGGGTGGAGCTCTTTAAGGGAGAATTCTCAGCCCTGACCCCAAACTACAAATCCCAGCACTCTGTACAGCGAAGACAACCTTTGTTGTTGTTGTGCCTTCAAGTTGTTCCCAACTTATGACAACCCTAAGCCACCATATCATGGGGTTTTCTTGGCAAGAATTGTTCAGAGGAGGTTTGCCATTGCCCTCCTCTGAGGCTGAGAGAATGTGACTTGTCCAGGGTCACCTAGTGGGTTTCATGACCAACAAGGGAATCGAACCCTGGGCTCCAGAGTCCTAGTCCAAGACTCAAACTTTCATTACACCATGCTGACTCTCCAAAGACAACCTTTGGTCCCCTAAATGTTGGGATTTCTAAAAGTTCTGGCTCACTTGACTAAGCACAAAGACTTCTGGGAGTTGAAGTCCCAAATATCTAGAGGACCAAGAGTTTGAGAAGCAATGGATTCGAGATCCCCAGCAGAGAGAAATCTGAGTCTATTATCCTGAGAGGCAAATTGGGGTTGAACCATTATAACCAGGTGGCACAAGGGCTGCATCCACACTGCAGAAATAATGCAGTTTGACAGCATTGTAACTGCCATGGCTCAATGCTATGAAATCCTGGGATTTGTAGTTGTGTAAGACATTTAACTTTCTCTGTCAGAGAGCTCTAGTGTGACAACAAACTACAAATCCCAGGACCCCATAGCACTGAGCCATGGCAGTTAAAATGGTGCCAAAACTGAAGTGCAGATGCTGCCAATTTCTGCTTAATTTCAGTCTTTCCACCCCAACCACCCAAAAGTGCCCAGCTGTTGAAGCTGCTTGACATTCTCTTTACCCATGGAGACCAGAGATTCATAGTTTCCTTTCATGATGTTCTTGTAGAGCTCCCGTTGCCATTCGGCCAAGTTCTCCCACTCTTGCTCTGAGAAGTAGACGGAAACCTCCTCAAAAGTCACCGGCACCTGAAATTGCAAACTGACTCAGATTGGGGTGGACAAGGGGCATTTTTTATTATTATTTCCAAAATAAGCTTGGAAATGCCCTTTTTTGGAAGGCATCAGCCATCGAGGGCAGAGGGTTCTGGGCATCCAAAAATATAAGTCCTTCCAGCTTTGAAAGGTGAAAGTTGAGATCCCATTTCATGCTTGCACCGAGTCCGGCTGCTAACCAAATTCGGAAATTTAATAATAATAATAATAATAATAATAATAATTATTATTATTATTATTATTATTATTATTTTTCACCCGCCCCTCTGCAAAGCAATCGAGGCGGCTTACAAGTTAAATCTAGACAACAGTTTTTTTTTTATTGTAACAACAATAAAGATACAAATTTCAGTACAAGCA